GCAATATGCTGACTCTGTAAACCGCTTAGAGAGGGCTGAAAGCCCTATGAAGCAGTATATAAGTCTAACTGCTATTGCTAACTGCTATTGCTATTGTACAACTAAATTAAACGCGATCTTCAGTGTACAACAACAGTTCAGGTTGTGGCTGTTAAGGAATCATGTGCCATTATTAAGCACATCAGGGCGTGGCTGGTTTCCACATTGGCTTGATGTATGGGAAGCTGCAGTGGTGGGTTGCAGGCCATACGCCCCAGTATGGGCATACCGGAGCCCGACCAGAGTACCGGATACCGTTCTGGTATGGTGCTCTGGAGGCTCCCCCTCCCCGCCCGCCCGAGCTCCTTACTGGTCTTTTAAGTCTATGGCGCTTCCGTGCACAGCGCATACAGCTCCTGCGTGACAGTCCACTGAGCAGCTGGAGCATGGCAGAGGCTTGCGGAGGCAATAAGGCGCATGCGCATGCTGCGCGTGTCCATGTGGACACCGCCGGGCTCGTTCCAGCCATACCAGTTGAAATGGGATCCAGAACCAACCACTGGGAAGCTGGCAGTGAAGATGACAAGGGGTGATGATGTGACTGTGGGAAGCTGTGACCACTGTAACTGTGGGCGGGTTGCCAAGTGCCCCCATCATCATCCTGTAACGGTGGGGACACTGCGACAGCCACAACTTCAAGGACCGGCCATAAGTCTTCTTATGGAGCACTCTTGTGACTTCGAATGGTTGCTGAACAAGAAGTCACTAAGTGAGGATGACCTGTATAGTCCATTGCCCTTTCCTATCCTTCACGGATGACAAAGCATAAGGATACTCTGGACGACAACAATCGGACCAACCCCTTGGGGGGGGCTCTCTCATGCCCTGGGGTCTCTGGCCTGCTCTCACCTGTCTTGTGGTCTTCCACTTACGCCCACCATTGAGGTTTATGTTGCTAAGTGAACAATGTCTGAAGGGAGTCGTGCCCCCTTTTTTACCCCCTTTTCTTGCCGCAGGTTGTTAAGCGAATCACTGCAGTTGTTAAGTTAGTAACGCAGTCGTTAAGTGAATCTGCTTTCCCCAATGACTTTACTTGTTCAGAAGGTCACAAAAGAGGATCATGTCGTGACCCCGGGACACTGACACCATCATAAATGTGAGTCAGCTGTCAAGCATCCGAATGTAAATCACATGTCCAGGGGGATGCTGCAATGGTCATAAGTGTGAAAAATAGTCATAACTCACTTTTTTCAGTGCCGTTGTAATTTTGAATGGTCACTAAATGAACTGTTGTAAGTTGAGGACTGCCTGCATTGCTATTATCATCTTTTCATTTCTCATCTTTCCTCCGTTTTCCTACTATCTTCTCCTATTGGTATGTTATGATTTATCACCTGTTGTTTGTATCTTATGATGGACCGTAACTATGTTTGTGATGTATGACCTGTCATTTTGTTATTGTTGTTGTTGTTGTTGTGTATACATTGTTGTATCGCTTGGTTGTTGCATTTGGGAGCTTGGAGACAAATTCCTTGCGTGTCCAATCACACTTGGCCAATAAAGAATTCTCTTCTGTCCGATTGAAGTCCAGGCCCAAAGGTGCTTNGAGCACCAACTCAGGTGACCCTGAGGACACAGATTAAACCCCCAAGAGATTCAATGACCCTCCAAAAGAATGCAAATGACCGGCTGTCTGCAAGGAGTATAAATCCTTCCTTTCCCCACCATCCAGTCAGAGCTGAAGAAGCTTCTTGGATGAGAAGCGAAACGACTTCAAAAGAAAAAAGCCAGAAACTCCAGTTGCCTCCTAAAAAAAAAGCAACTTTGGGACTCCAGTGATGGAGCACCCACAGCTTCTGGCAGCAAGCTGGGCCACTGAGCTCACCAGGACTCCCCAGCCTGAGGGGGGGGGAGGCAGGGGGGGGCTGCAATCAAAAACCTCATAATTCCCAGCCCACATTGGCCCCCAGCTTCAATTTAGGAGAGCCAGAATGGCCTCAACGCAAGTGGAGTGGAGGGAAACCACTAATGGGGAAGAGGGGGGGCAGTGGGAGGGGGGAGAATGGGCTGCAAGCGGAGGGGCGGCGATTCAGAATAACAAGGCTTGAAAAGGACCTTAGAGGTCATCTAGTCCAACCCCCCGCCCAAGCAGGAAACCCTCCACCATCCCTGACAAATGGCAGTCCAGTCTCTTCTTGAAAGCCTCCAGGGATGAAGCATCCACAACTTCTGAAGGCTAAGGGGGACTGGGGTGGGGGTGGGGGGCAACCCGGAGACACTCCCCTCTGCTCGCCCCCCATGCCGGGCACTTACAGTAAATGAAGGCGGTGGCGCGCAGCAGCACCAGCCGCGTCAGCCAGAAGGAGCCGGGGCGCAGGGAAGGCGCCGGAGGGGCGCGGGGTTCCCGAGGATCGGGGGCGTCTCCCGCCGGACCCCGCCGGCGCCGCAGCTCCCCTGCGCTCGCAGCCATGCCTGCCGGGTTGCCAAAGGGCGCATGCGCGCCGAGGGGAAGGACACGGAGCGCGCGGTCATTGGCGGGGGCGCGCGCCAGCAGGAGCTCTCCGGAGCGTACAGGGGCAGGAGAAGGAGAGGGGGGGGGGGTTGCCTTGCAGGCACCGTTTTGCCTGGGCTTCCAGGCTGGGTCCACGCGCTTAGCCGGCCTTCCCCACCTCCATACCTCTTGCAAGGCTCGCTTTGCAACGGGGTTGGGGAAGGAGAAGCCCGAGACGGCATCCAGAGGGCGCAGGGGGAGACCGGGATTGGGAGGGGAGGGGGATAAATGTCACTTCTTGTGTGTATCTTATGATTGACCGTAACTATGTTTGTGATGTGTGACCTGTCTCTTTGTCGTTGAGGGGGTGGGGGAGTGTACGTGTTATTGTATCGCTTGGTTGTTGCATCTGGGAGCTTGGAGACAAATTCCAAGTGTGATTGCGTGTCCAATCACACTTGGCCAATAAAGAATTCTCTTCTGTCCGATTGAAGTCCAGGCCCAAAGGTGCTTTTTCAAAAGGCAAGTGGACTTCCTTTGTTTTTCCTTGAAGACGTTTCGCCTCTCATCCAGGAAGCTTCTTCGATTCTTGGATGAGAAACAAAACATCTTCAAAGAAAAAAAATGAAGAAAGTCCAGTCGCCTTTTGAAAAAGAACCTTTAAGAGCACCGTGATCTACATGCGTGATGGCGAGCCCATGGCACATGTTCCAGAAGTGGCATGTAGAGCCATCTCTACAGGCATGCCAACCGTTGCCTGTTGCTCTTCTGGTTTTGGCCCACACACGCATGCCAGCCAGCTGGTCTTTGCATGCGCATCAGAAACTGGAAGACCAGGCGACCGGTCTGCGCA